CAAACTTGACAAAATGGAAATTGTGTGGCTGAGGAAATTGGTGCCCTGTATGATGTTCCTGACATAGATTGACTCGGTGTTCTCCCAAAACTTCTAGGACCTCTCCTGGGTGGGTAACGAGGTCCAGCATAATTTACTCCAAACTTCCTCTTCTTCTCCTCTTCTTTGGCCTTGTGTTCCTCTCGGCTCTCAACTTCATAGGCTTCATACTTAAGTGCTGCCTCCTTGATTGTGGCCATGCTCTCTTCATCAACCCTGTGGATCTTTTCTTTCAATCCTATGCGCAGACCATGCAAGTATCTCATCTTCTTCTTATGCTCAGTATCCGCCAACCCATCCTCAAAGTAAAGTAGTCAAACAAACTTGATGGTGTACTCAGTAACTATCATATTCTCCTGCTTAAGGTTGGCAAATTCATTGTTCTTTGCCCTGATAAAAGCTTCGGGAAGAAACTCTGTCTTAAAGGCCTTCAGGAACTCCTCCCAGGTGAACTGAACTCGTTCACCATTAACTCTAGAGACTGAGGACCACCAGCTCCTCGCGTACCCCTTTAGGAGAAAAACAACATATTGTACTTTTTCCTCTGGGGTCGCATAAATATATTCAAACACATCTTCCATCTCCCTCAGCCACTCTACCACAGCATCCGGACTTACATCTCCTTTAAAGTCCCTACCACCCAAACTCTTCATCTTTGCATAATTTAATACTGGCGGTCTTGCATCAACTGCCCCCACTCCTCTCGACTGGTCAGTAGGAACATTTTCACAACTTCCGTGTGAACTACAAGGAAATATTGGCCTTAGATTGATCCACACAAAATTCATTCTTCACCAAATCTCTCACTTGGTTAAAACAAAAAATTTCCAAAATAATTACTTGAAAACAATTAAGTTCAAACTCAATTTTGAAAACCATGATGCAGGTAATTTCATCCAATATACCAATACACATAATCATGTCAAACTCAATTCCCAGTTTAAGTCATTATGGGGTACTCCCCTCCTTATGAGTGTTTAAACTCCCATAGGGTATAGTACGCCATAACAGCAAAAAGAGGGAACCGGGCTCTGATACCAAACTGTAACACCCTACCCTATACGTTTTGCCTAATCATATTGTTCATACAATTGCAGCGGAATTAAACTTGGGTGTTACATTAATTATCAAAATTTACCCAAATAAAATTTCGACATGAATTACTCGCGTAATGGGCTAACAGTTCTTGCAACTTATCCTGCAAAATAATTCATCACAAACATATATACTCACAACCATATGCATTGGCTTTTTATAGCCATAGTCACACTTTTCATACTTCCTAACTGCATACCATACTTATACATACCATAATCGTCACAATTTACACAGTTACACAACATATACACATATCATTAACTTTCCACACCTGTGGATATCTCACACTAGATTCGAAGCTAGTATGCACATGAAAATTTTCTCAAAACATTTTTACAAAAAGGTGTGGATCACTGGCCAAAATCCCGAGTAGTAGTCCAAGCACAGAATAGTTGAAGACCATACCTCATCTGCCTTCAACTCTTGCTCAGCTCCCACCTATACACCTATCTACTGCTGCTGCTGATGATCTGCTTACACATAGCATAAGCAGAGAAGAAGAATAAAAGAGGGTCAGCTCATAGCTGAGTGAGATAATCATAGCATCGTGAGTTCATAACAGAGCATACCCCTATCATACATCTAACAATCAAGCCAAAACACTAGGATCGGACCTCAGCCATACTCATATCCCAATAGGCAAAAGACTCAACCACTTTGACTTATGCATATGCATCTTATCATGTTTTAACCATAGGCGCCTGGCTACTCCCATGCTAATAACTCTCCCGGGAAACATACCCCACATCCCGTCGGATGTAGTCATACATACACCAACATCCCGTCGGATGTGGTCATACATACCCCACACCACTATGGGTGTAGTCATACCCCGACACCGCTCTGGGTGTGGTCAAATCTCGTAAGAATTCTTTAGTCACCACCACATGAGAGGTGTGACTATCATACATATCATAATAGAGTAATAGCATAGGGAGCCCTAATTACTATGTAGTTGACCGTGAGACCACAACACTCATATTTGGTATCCTTATACATGATTCATATCTCATCTTGCTTAATCACAATTCGTTACTTGCACATGTACTTGACCTGCCCATAATTGGCTCAACATAGGTAAACCAGGAGTCGTATAATTGCACTTCCTCGGGATAAACCCTCGTGCAAGTCATCCTCCTTAAACATCATAATATCACCCTGTAAAGTTTATTCCCCCACTTATGGATCCAAATACAACCGTAATATCACACCATGTCAAAACCCCTTATCGAACGACCATGAAGTCATAATAACAATTAAGCCACAAATGGCAACATGTATGCAATCATCAACATAAACAAGGTTCATATCGGTTAGGGCAAGTCAATAATATCATACAGCAATCCAGGGTTCAACATATAGCACAAAAGCTCATACACCCCTGATCATGTCATTCTAGTTCACCTAGATCAATTCTAAGCATCAATATAATTATCGTGATACGACAAACCCGGTATGCCGTGCTAATCCCTCACCAGTTCTGGTCGTTCAAACACCGGTTTAACTTTCCCGTACTAAAACGTCAATTTCAGGAACGAACCCCGAATTAAAATCCGAGACCGTCCTAATATCCCCTGCAGTATCCCCGTCAATATTAGTTCTAGGCTCTGGGTCAAATTCTTGATAAAAACACATCAAACCCTGGCCGGAGCTAAATTCAGCGGTTTGGACCCCGGCCTAAATAATTGCCAAAATTCAGGGATTAGAACTAGAGGATTGATTACCTCGCTGCAGTGAGCTCGTATATGAAATTTGGGCTCAATCCGGCTTCCGGATACTCCGAAACCCTAATTTGGCTTATCGGGAATTCAAGAAATTCCTGAACTAAAAACTCGTTTTAAAGCTCTAAATCGATAAATCACGATGTATGGATGAATTAGGCATTACTTACGGGATTTTTGGATCACTGTAGCTCAAGAATCGAGCTATGGAAATTTTCCCCCGGAGCTCTGCGTGCGGCTCTGCTTCTCCGCTTACTCTCGGTCCACAAAGAATGAAGAAGAAGAAAATGGATGGGAATGTAATGGACGGCGGAATTAAATGATCGTGTATATATAATTATATATACATATATATATATATATAATTATATATATAATTATATATATATAATTAATACGTATACTTATCCGATCGATCGATAATCCGATTTTCACCGAAATAGTGTCGAAATGCTCGATTTTAAATCGCGAACTTTCTAGCGATCGAAATATGGGTTTTGCTGGAACGAGATGTTACAGTACTCATACAATCATCCAATCAAACAAACATAGCTAGGGTTCCTCAAAACCTAAGTGAAGGGAAGTTACTCCATAGAGAAGAGAGAGATTGCAGTAAGAATCTTCAGATGATCAGTCTTCAAGTCCGGGCTTGTTCCTCGAGCTTCCAAGGCAAAGAAATCCTCCAATTCCACTCCAAGAATGCCCTAAAATCGCCCTCTCTCTCTTTGGTTCGTCCCTTGGGTGTTTGGGATCCAAAACCCAGCTCTCCCTCTCCTTTGGCTCGAATTTGCGTTAAAAAACCTGATTCTAGGCAAAACACGGTCGAGGGCACGGCCGTGCTTTGCTTTTGACCGCCCGTGTTTTGCCCCGTGTTAAAAACACGCTCGCGCGCGTCGGCCAAAACACGGTCGTGCTTAAATATGGGCACGGCCGTGTTTTGATTTAGGCGCGCCCGTGTTTTTACTGTCGAACCTGTTCCCCTATATTCAATGCTTCGTTTCTCCCTCGTCCGGACTCCGAATCAGTCGCCGTTTGATCCCAGACGCTCGTAGTCTCGTCCTCTTTCTTTTCATGACAAGCTTGCATGATTCTTTGTCCATAAAGGAAGGTATAAATTCATTCTTCTTCAGGTCATGCCCGAGTTTCTTCTCCCTAATCGCCAATTGATTTCTGATTAACTTGAAACTTGAGCCTATGCTTCACTTTATGTGCTAGGACCTGAAATGTGACAAAGGAACACAACCTAGCATAAAATAGGCCAAAGACGCGATAATCAAAGCTCAAACTATCAAGAAACAAAGGGGGAAACATGTGCAAATATCGAGTCATCAAATCCCCCCACACTTAACCGTTTGCTTGTCCCCAAGCAAACCTAACTCAAACCAATGCAGCTCTCCAGACCTCTATAGCAACATGCACCCTCGATCGTTGATAGAGAATTTTCTAGATCATTTAGCAGCTTACGAGGTCAACCGACGCACAAGTCATCTCATAGCTTCTTCGGCGAGAATGCTAGTCTCGAGTCGGCATCATGGCAAATAGTGAACTATGGACAAATGAATCGTGGACAAAGAGACTCTAAAAAACAAAAGATCATGGACTCACATTTTTCAAGTTGCTCTTATTTTCTTTTTGAAGACGGTTGGAACCCCTTTTTTTCCTTTTCTTTTGTTCTCTTTTTTTTCCTTTCTTTTTCAAGGGTTCCAACCCGATTTTCAGAAAACGGGGCTCCCACCTAGCAAAGGTTTTGCGGGAACCCGGCTCTTACCGGCCATGCCGGGAGCGAATGTCTCGAGCCTCGTGAGGGGAAAAGGAATGTAAGGGGGCTGGAGGTAGTAGGTGGAAATTGGGAACGAATTCTCGTCTCCCCTTACACACTTTCGCTCTATTCGCACGGGAGACATTATTTTAAAGCACATTATCGAGCACCTTTTATTTCAAAACATGATACAGGAGTCCATGACAGGTAGAGAGTCCACAACACCACACAATTCAAGGGTCCTAAGATCACTAATTCACACAATCAACCAACACAATATGAAGAAGAAAGGAGACTTCTTAAATGCATCATATCCTCCATAGTGCTACAATACCTCCCTAGGTTGCATATTACTATAAAGACTGTCAATTCAAAGCATACTGAGCAGGCAATTGCAAGGAACACGTACTTGGAGCCCTCAAATCAAAATTTGGACAGTGGACTAGGCTCCAAGCACACAAACAGCCAAACATTCACACGCATACATAATCGAACATCCCCCACACTTAAGCACGACATTGTCCTCAATGGAGGAAAGATAAGGAGGGTAGAACGAAGTTACCATATCAACGGTGAATGATGGTGGACGGGTAAGGCGGTGCATTCCAGGAGGACAAAGTAGTCGGAACACAAACACCACACAAAATCTTACAAAAGTTGAGTTATACTCTGAAATCAAAGAACAAAACTGACTCAACCGAAGAGAAATAGGGAAAGAAATGCAAACCGACTGGTTGGGTTGCCTCCCAACAAGCGCTTCTTTCACGTCGTGAGCCGGACGATGGCTCCTAAGTTTCGGTCCACCCCAAAACCTCCTTGAAGTTGAGGTTCTCGTCGATGAGGTGGAGTCTCAAGTCACGAGCATGTGGTATGACAGGTGATGGAAGCTCGTGCACTTGATGCAGATAACGTCTCCACCCTCGAGACCTCTTCTTCTCTTCTCTCGTCTCATTGCCCCAAACTAGATATGACAACATCGATTGGCCACCATCGCGTCCACCAAGAGGAACCGATGTCGATGTGGCCTTGGTTTGGCAAATAGACACTACAAATGGGTCCTTGCCAAGCAGCTCCTCGAATTCGGTGGAGATATCACAAGTAACTCATAGCCGGTGCAAGCCTCTTCCACCTCAACTTCGTCCTCAGCCTGGATGCCAATTGATTTTTGATTAACTTGAAACTTGAGCCTATGCTTCACTTTATGTGCTAGGACCTGAAATGTGACAAAGGAACACAACCTAGCGTAAAATAGGCCAAAGACGCGATAATCAAAGCTCAAATGATCAAGAAACAAAGGGAAAACATGTGCAAATATCGAGTCATCAATAACATTCATGTCCAAGGAACAAACGAATGGGCAACTAAGGTCCTCACCGAGGTATGATATGACATGCAAAGCAAGAATGATACACTCACTCTCTTGATCAGTGACGTCGGGACTTTTTTGGTACGATGAATGTGCACAATCATCAACACTCGGCCCTATCGTCTCTTCACCACGACGGTGACCTCTAAATGTTAGAGTTCATGGGATGGTTGTCATCACTAGCTTGTCCGGAGGTCTTAGACACAGGTTCAAATGACTGGAAATTGTTTTGGACATGGGGAAAAAGCTTTTTGGGTGGTGGCAAACACATAATGAGGTCCTACTTCTTCACCCTAGACCCGAAGGTTCTATGGTTTCGACTGAGAACCTTCCCTACAAACAATGGCCACTAGCATCAGCCAAAAACCTTGCTTCTCCCTTCCAAACTATCACCCATCATGAAATTCCTTTAAGCGCTTTTCCTAGGTCTACTCTTGCTATCACATTTTGACTTGGTAGTGAAGGAGTTCTAAAACAATGTGGGGGTTTCAATGTCTTGAGTGCCAAGAAACCCCACTGAGAGCATACTCTTTGATTCTTTTGTGGCACTCTCTACTTTATTTACCCAATTTTATTACTTCTTTTTCGATTCTTTTTCTTTCCACTCTCATTTTCTTTCTTTTTCTCTTTTATTTTTATTTTTGAGGAGGGTAATAGAGAGTTAAACACTTGCCACATTATCATTAACAACCAATGCTCTCTTTTAAGAACTCACTCCAACACTACTCTTTTCTCTTTCATTCCTAGCAAGAACCGCACACAATCCTTCTATGTAGAACCTCAATGGAACTCAAAAGCGAGAGCTCCTAGACATAAGGACGACTCATCTATAGACACGAAGAAAAGATGGGTAGTCGTTCTATCAAACATCATTAAGCTCACAAGCAAAAGGCTTCTACAAGAGAATGACTCCAAAAGTCACAAGGATCAAAGGGGTTGACTAGGGGATAAAACATTTTGGGACAAATCAACATTTGGGCGTGGACTAATCCTATGCCTCCATCATACTCACTAGTGATAAATGTGATGTTACTCACCATGGTAAGAGGGATCTAAGCACACAAGAAGAAAACGATCGGTTCAAAACTCACATGGCTACCTAGTCACCCAATCATCCATCACCCAATCATCCATTCCCAATTGCAAAGAAGAGAATCCATCTTCTTTGTAAGACTCGTAGGAAGTAGAAACACGCTCATGATGAAGGTAGGGATAGCTTGAATAACAGTCTTGAGCAATGTTTCTTTCCCCCTATGTGAAAGGGTGGGGCTTTTCCATGATTCTCCTTTCTTTTCCATTTTCCGAATCAAGAAGCTAAAGGTGTCTATTATGGATCGACCCCATTCAGTTGGCACTCCCAGCTGTTTATCATTTCCCATTATATTTATCATGGCTTATTCAGTTGTCCATTTTCATCATCATGTCGTATTTGTGCCCTTGTCATCGATTTTTGAATTGATGGAGAACCTATGGACAATAATAATATTGTCCTGGATCATTCTTCCTCCTGTGAAAGCTACTTGCATTTATGAGACAAGTTTAGGAATCATTCCCATGATCCTATTCGACATGATCGTGGAGATGACTTTATATGTGAAATTTCAGCAACTAATGGGCCGGTATTTACTGATCTGCTCTGGTGATGGAATCTTGGGGGTGTTAGAGAACATTTTTTAGCGTGCCATTGGAGATGATTTGAGGCCTCTACCTCTCTCTCCTGCCTCGAATCAAGGAAGATCAAGATCATCGAACCAAAGTTGCTACTCGTGGTTCCAAGGAAGTGTGTCGTGTACCCTACATACAATTTTGTGGTGTCTCCTACGCCTAGTGTGCTCACGTTGTCGTCGTTCTGGAAGAAGAGCAAGTTGATGCATTAAAGCATCCTTAGCTCAAGTGGCTAATAATTTATTATTATTAGATAAAAATTCACTTGTATAGTCTTAACTATTGTTTTTGTGACAATAATAGTCAATTTCTGAAAAATACACAAAATGTCCAAATTTTGGAAACATGTTTGAAAAATTTAGCCAGTTACATTAACAATACGTTGATTGATTCAGGTATAATTACACATATTGTACCCCTCATTTCTTGATAGTTTGACTTGGTAAATCATTGTTCATGAACCTATTTTACTCTGGGATGTGCTTTTTTTGCTACGTTTCAGGTCCTAGCATGTTTGGGAAGGTCGGGGACGAGTTTCAGGACGATTGGAAGTTGAAAAGTGAAGAAAAGTCCAAAGTCACGGTTTTTAGGCAATTGTCAAGGTCTGGCAACCATGACAATTGCATGACGTTCGTAAAGTTCGCTTGGAAAGAGTGTGGTTTTGCACCTCACGGGCCTAAACGATATCATGATCATCGGACCTTGAAGTCAGAAAAAAGGCAACAGTCACTTGCGTTTTTGGCCGAGATCACGGATAGGCTTCCGATGTCACGGCCGTGAACAGTGACCGTGAAAATCGACTGTCTGGCTGAAACACCAAAGGGGAGTTCTTGAGTGATCTTGGAGGTTAATTGAAGGCATTGATTAAGTTTGGAAGCAAGGAATCAAGCCTAGAAGAAGAAGAAGAATAATAAGAAGAAGAAGAAGAAGATCTTGTACTCCAAGTTGTAATCTCTCTCTTCTCTCTTTTGAAACTAGCCCTCTTCTCTTGGGTTTAAGAACCCTTAGTCTAGGTCTAGGTTTTGGTTTTATGTTGATGTATGTGACAAATTCCATTTTTGATTAATGAATTTACTTAATTGAAGGAGGTTTTAATGAATGGCATGAGTATTGATTCCATTTTCATGAGCTTTTAACCTAAGAGGGAGAAAATCTCCAAACCGCCCATTATTGGCATCTTCGGGTCACTCCTATCGTATATTTTCTGGGCACCCGGGGGATTTGATCAATCAGTCTCCTAGTAATATATGAAACCCTAGGTTAAATAGAGCACCTACCCATCCATCGATTCGTCGTTCCAGGTCAATCCCGAGGGAGTCTAGTGTTCTTAATCACTATTGTAGGTTTAGTTAGTTTAGTGTTCTTAATCACTATTGTAGGTTGTCCAGATAATGAACCCTAATCCTGAAGTAAGGTAAGCTTAGATCCCCGTGGTACAATAAAGTTTATTGCTTGCTTACCCTATATATCCTACACCCGGTCATCGGTTATACTTGGCCTTCGATTGGGAAGTTGTAGTTAGAGCGAGTCACTAACGAGGATGCCACCTTGACGGACACGTTAGCGACAACTCAACACACCATGCCAAGTGGACAACATGCCACGCCATGAAAAAATAAACTTGTATAGCCATAACTATTGACTTTGTGACAATAGTAGCCAATGTCCAAGAAAAAGAAATACACAAAAGGTCCAAATTTTAGAAACATGTTTGACAAATTTAGCTACTCTAGTTAAAATCTTCAACTCCATTTATAGATTCATTCAGTTACATTCAGAAGATGTTGACGATGGGGATTTGATGTGATTTTTTCTTTCGTTCTTTCTTCTTTTCGTGTTTTATTCAAATGGAAAAAAAAGATTAAGCCAAGGTTTACTTTTAAGAATTCCATGTTAGATGACAAATCAGCGCTGACTGGATTTTAAGTTAATTTAACGGATACCGTTAACATATATGACGTTTGCATTAGTATTGTCATATTGGATATATTGTGAGAAATGACAATTTTTGACAAATCAGCTGCTGAGGATTACATAATCCAAACCCCGATATCTAGTTTAAGTGTGACTGAGAAGGTGTCCAGTCTAATAGATTTAGAGGCTCGATCATGGAAAAGCAATATTTTGTAATCCCATTTCCAACCAATTAATCGAAAATGAATCTATCAGATTCCAAATCCATCTCAACCAATACCGAATATAAGAGTTTGGGGAAAGGATAAAAGAGGAAAATATTTAGTCAGATCCGGGTATAAGGAATGGTGGAAAAAGCAAGAAGAGGTAGCAATATCTCACCTACAGGAATCTGGGTATACCAATTGACTAGATGCAACTATTGATGCTCGAATTACCAACAAAAGTTCGTTTTTTGACTGGAGATGAGGTAGCAATATCTTACCTACATGCTCAAATCTATCACTAAGAATCCATAAGGAAAATGATGAATGCCCGTTTTGTTGACTTCTAGAGACACAGGAGCACATTACGAGAGACTGTGACGGGGCAGGGAGGATATGAACACCTAGTTTTCTATCCAAACTTTTCAAGCTAGGAGAAGAGAATAGTTGTGAAGAATGGCTAGCAGACCTAATCGACCAAGCAAACAAGGATGAATTATGCTCAAATCTAATCACCCAATGGTTCCTATGGAAAGAAAGGAACAATCACTCGTTCAACAATCCTAAGCTAGAGGAATGAGAAATCGCGAGCAGAGCACAAAATTACTTGAAGGAGTTCCGTCAGTAGCAAACAAGGACAGATACCCAGCGAATTCCACCCAACATTATCAAACGGGAGCGCCATCCGACAGGAATTTTCAAAATCAATGTTGATGCGGCAACGCTCGGAGGGGACAAGAATGGATTCAGACTAGTAATTCGCGATGCAAATGGTCGATTTCGGGCAGGTACACCGAACTCGAACGAAATGGTCACCGGAATTGGTAGAGGTGCAAGCGATGCTATGGGGTTTGAAGTTGGCTTTGACCAATTCCTTTCTATCAATGTTGATAGAATCATACTGCCAAACCTTGATTCAGAAGATCAATTGTCCAGGAACAAAAAATTTGGAGGTAAAAAGGATTTGCGAAGAGATCAAACGAAAGTTAAAGAAGGTGGAGAAGTCTTTTGGAGGTTTTGGGGAAGAAAAGGAAATGGAGTTGTTCATTTGATGGCTCAGTGACTTGCTCCGACTATCATAATAAAATACCACCTAAGGACCAAGAATAAACATTAGATGGGTGCAATATATGGCAAGTATGTTTAAATATCAACCCGACCCAGCCCATCTACCCCTACTTCGATTGTTTGAAACATTATCTAGCGGATTGTTGTTTGTTGAAATCTCTACAACCTACAATTTGAAAACAAGACTTTGAAAAGTAAACGGGTGGAAAACTCTTGGTGAGAAGCTTCACTATCGTGTTGCTTACACCTAACTAACTACCATGAACCGTGGGATCGAATGAACCGGTGTGTGACGAGGAAATTGTGACCCATAAGAGGTTCAAAAATGGTTATAAAACATCCTCTCAATTGCTAGGTCAATGTAAGCATTAGAGGCTACAATTATAGCCCTCTTGGCTCAAGCAATTGAGGGTTGACTTACCTTCTTCCTCAAACCAAGGCTTGGATGGCATAATCACAATTAACCTAGGTGTCTAATTCAAGTAGAGGATTTCCCTTCATTAACATAGTTAGGAGGCTTGGAATGCCTAAGAAAACCCAGCTCAATTTTGAGCCTCTTAATTAGATAGGGGGCTTTTCTCTACTCTAGGTTAGAATAGCACAATAGATTGCCAAGCAAACAATATGCACAATCACCATGAAAAATACCTCAATGCTTAAATTAAACACCACCATCACACAATCATTCAATCCACACAATCAATTACATGATAGTAGTTAGGGTTCTACAACACCCAGGTGAAAAGGAAAACTACTCCATGCTAGACAAAAAAAGAACACAAAAGAGGAAGAAAAAACAATCACTGTGATGCCTCCAACTTTCCTTCTGCTAGTAGAGATCCTCCAAAGAAGAGGAGCTTCCAAAATCTTCACTTGGAGCAAACCCTAGCCTCTTCTCCCTCTTGGTTCGTGACTTTCTCGCTCTAGGGTTTCAAGAAGAAGAAGGTTTCTCTCACTTTGGGCTCTCCCCTCTTCTTCCTTTCAGCTGACCTTTTATACTGAGATCGCACCCAGTTCACGGCCGTGAACATCATAACGCGCCTGTGAACTCAGTGAGCTGGATCAAATAGTACCGCTTCACTTCTGGGGGTTCACGGTTTGTGGTTCCAGTTCATGATCTTAACGACCGTGAACTGCCTTGATGTTAGTAACCTCAGTAACCCCTCTGGACACTTCACTGTTCATGGTTTGTGGTTCCAGTTCACGGTACTGGCGACCGTGAACTCAAATGTTGGACCGTGAACTCTGGCTAAATCCTCCTCTTTGCCCGGTCTTTGCTCCTTTTCTTCCAACTTTCGAATCCGGGGTTGATTTCACCTGTTAGAATCTGAAACACATCAAAACACAAGAAACCTAGTGTAAAACCACCCCTTTTGGAGCTCAATTTCCATAAACGTCAATGAGAAACGGGGATAAAAAGTGTACAATTAGGCCCGAATTACTCAGGTTAATTGCAGATGGGAAGAAAGCGAGTGTTGGGTTGAAAGGACCCCAATTTTTATCATCGCTCAACTTTTGGCTGATGCCAATGTAGTACCCAACATTTGATTATTTTGGATACAAGCCTATAAAAAAAAATCCCTAATTCCAACTCAATTCCCATTCCTCTATAAATCCCCAATCTACGAACACTAGATGAACACGTCTACATTCATAGTTCTTACACATTATTATGATTGCTATGTTAGTGAACAATGGATGCATGATGAAATAAGCTCTCTTAAAAAATGGATCAGCGAAACCCTCACTTGAAAGTGGAATTTCCAATTCGTGAAGCTTCCCCATATCACGAAGGTTTCCCTCCACAAATCGAGGTGAAATCCAAGTTGGAGTTGGCCATGGAGCCTTTCATGGGACAAACCTCAAGACCATGTGCTGCTCCACATCCAGAGCCGAAAAGCAAATTAGAGCTCATTTCGACTCAACCTTTCTTCGGGAATCAAAAGAGCTCCTTCGATACACGAAAAGCCTAGGAGGGCTTGTTGAGAAAGCATGTGCACGACTTGATCACAATCGCCTGCAACCATTAGGAGAAGGAAGGGAGGTCGAAGAGGCAAGCCATGAGAACTTTCGAAGAATGAGCTTCGACATGGATTTCCAACCCCTCCCTCCACCCGATTTGACACTCAAAGAGAAGGTGGCACGAACTTGTGCAAGCTATCACCTCAAAGCATTGGAGGAGAAAGAGGAGGTTGAATGTAACACCCTAACCTGGTCAGGTACTAATTTTACCAAAATTCCCTTGTAAAAAAATGCTCATAAACGCTAAGAACATCGGGAAAACCTTTTCGTAAATAAAATACTAAAAGCACACTCTTGAAATTCAAGGCAATGCCCTAACACTTGGGCAAACTCAATCCTTAAAATCTCAAAATGATCTCCAGTCTATACTCATAATCAAAAAATGTAATAACTGAGTAGTCTCTAATGCTACTACTTACTGAAAGCTTTGACTAGACATCTTCTGTGATGCTTGTACTGCCCTCCTCTAGCTGGCTGGCCTCGAACTCGCTACTCACTACCTTCTCCTCTAGTTCCTCCTCTTCCTATTCAAACTGGTGAGTGAGTTAGGGTCAGTCTACGCCCTTACGTTTTAAATCTCGAATACTTGAGCACTTTACTTAAAACACTTACTTAAACAGGTGGAAGTTGTTCTTACTTACACCCTTAAAAACTTTAGCTCTTAAAACTGTGTTATCTCATCCTTTATCTTATTATGGAGCCCCTACCTCGACTTAGCTGGAGCCACTACTAGCCTTACTTAAAAATGGCTACCCTCAAACTGAGTTTTGACTACCTCATTACGTACCGTCGTCCGGTGTCAAACTAATGTATGTCAACCGCGTTACGTATCGCCGTCCGGTTGCATACCTAAATTTGACAATGGAAACTGCGTTACGTATCGCCGTCCTGTTCCATGCGGATCAACTACTACGTTACGTATCGCCGTCCAGTAGTGATCCCTCGTGAACGTGGCTAGCTAAACGAGGTTACTTATCTTGTTCTTACTTACTATTTCTCTTTCTCTCTTCACCTTAACTTATTTAAGGGTTAAGTACTACAAAAACTTATTCTTACCAATCACAACCTCTTAATAAAAGACAGACACTTAACTGCTTAAAAAGTAAATAATGAAAACTCAAGTAAGCACATCAAACAATATCTCCAACGAGAACATGTATTATCAAGCATAAACATAATCAAGCACAGACATATACTTCACGTAAAACACATATTTAAAATTCGTAAGCGTTGAATTTACCCCTTTACACTCACCTTATCTCAATGTGCAGTTCCCTCGAATATGCTTGGGAGTTGGGATCATCCGTCATTACACTTCACACCTTCCCTTCTTAACTCCATGGGCGCATACTTTACAGGAATTGCTCCTCGTAGAGGTCCCAAAATACATTCCATTAGCTTATTAATCTAACGACCATCCCATTGCTTATAACCCATTCACTTTTACATTATCTAAATTCCTTCCTACGTTTGCTAATTGAATTAGCAATCCCACTTCCTGCAGTTAAAATATTGATTACTTTTCTACTAGACGCCCACAAATCAGCGCTTCTAAGGTAATTAGTCCCTTTGGTCCAATACGTACATGCATAACTAGATGGTACCCGGCCCGTTGGCCGGTTGCGATTAATTGATTATATTATATGTTAATGTCATGCGAATTAACAATATTTTAGTCGCCAAAACCAACGGATAGAGTGCAGATGAAAACAATGTCTTCTCATATGCAAAATTAGCGATCCAGTAATTAAAAGATTGTTAATGACATTAACTGGTATCTATCGACTATCATGCCCCGTAGGCCATAGAATAACCTCCACAATTTTGGCATTGATAAGATTTTAAGTGTTTCCTAGATACACATGAGAATGATAGTATTTCCAAAGTCAATTTTTTACATTCATGAACAAATAATATTTATATTCATAAAATAAAATATTTTCAATATTTAATTGATAAATCATATCCAACAAATCTACTAAAGGTTAGAACTTTAAATTTTGTATTTAACTAAAAAGGATAATACCTTTCGACAAAAAAGGGGTTAATAGCTTATTTTGACATGAAATTTGACATAAAACACAATTTTTGAAGTAATTTTTAAAGGGTTAATTGCATGGTTGGTCACTGACATTATAAAAAGCGTTCATGTTTGGTCACTAGAAATATTTAAATCCATTTTTGGTCACTAACTTTACAAAAACCGTTCATTTATGGTCACTCTCCGTTAGCTGCCGTCCAACGCCGTTAACGGCGTCCGTTAAGTGATGACGTGGCTGACGGATTCGCCTAATCATCACCTTTTAACCCGAAAATTGACTGACCCGATCCGCCACGTCATTTAAATCCTCCATGTCAGCCAAACCTAACCAAACCTCTAACCAAACCAGACCCGACCCCCTAAATAAAGAACTAACCCGACCCACCAATTAATCTACCCACCTTTGACTAAAACCCTAATCGAAGACAAATCCATTTGCCTCCATCCCGCGCCGCCTTCCTCCCTTTCGTTTTTCTTCCTCTCCAACTCTGATCACCAATTCGCCGGCGACGAAGGAGGAATGGAGTCTGCCACGCACTTGCCTTTAGAAATGGATCCGTTGACTATGTCGGCGTTGCCGCACCTGGGGAGCACGATTTGGCGGATGGTCCGGTCGTCGAGCTGGCCCGTGAAATTGGGCTTGAGAGGTTCTGGAAGGACTCCCAGGCGGTGGTGAAATTGGGCTTGAGAGGTAAATCGCGCGGGAGGGAGGTTATGTTGGGGAAGAACCTACCGGAAACAGGCGGCGAGAAGGAGGAGAAGACTAGCAGCAACGCTGTAATGGCGGCGGAGGCGAATTGGAAGCCGAACTTCATGGCTCTGCAATTTAATTTTCGGACGGATCGGAGCGAGGGATTTCAGATTTGCATTTGTGTTTTGGGAAAAGGGTTTTATGGGATATGGGAGGAAAGTGACTACGTTGGAATGGATTGATTTGGCGTGTTGAAACTCCTTCGTTGTGTTTAATGGTTCAATGCGGACTCCATTCCTCCTTCGTTGCCGGCGAATTGGCAATCAGAGTTGGAGAGGAAGAAAAACGAAAGGGAGGAAGGCGGCGCGGGATGGAGGCAGATGGATTTGTCTTCGATTAGGGTTTTAGTCAAAGGTGGGTAGATTAATTGGTGGGTCGGGTCAGTTCTTTATTTAGGGTCGGGTCTGGTTTGGTTAGGTTTGGCTGACATGGAGGGTTTAAATGACGTGGCGGGTCGGGTCAGTCAATTTTCGGGTTAAAAGGTGATGATTAGGCGAATCCGCCAGCCACGTCATCACTTAACGGACGCCGTTAACGGCGTTGGACGGCAGCTAACGGAGAGTGACCATAAATGAACGGTTTTTGTAAAGTTAGTGACCAAAAATAGATTTAAATATTTCGAGTGACCAAACATGAACGCTTTTTGTAATGTCAGTGACCAACCATGCAATTAACCCAATTTTTAAATAAGGCAGTTTCGTTCGAATTTTGGAAGAAATTAACAAATTTGACCCAAAATTTAGGTTGACTGTTAATACTGAAGGTTAAATATTTATTTCCTCTATGACTCATTATAATATGCTGAGGTGGTTCCAATGTGGCTTTCACATCATTTATTTTGAGCTAAAATTTGTTCATTTATTCTAAAATTCAGTCAAAACTATCTTTTGTGAAATGTTTGACATACAATATTAACGCTCAACTAAATTTCGAGCCAAATTTATCTACTTCTGTCAGAATTCGAGAAAAACTATTTTATTTGAAAGTTCAAACCATAATTATCTTTTTATTATTGGGAAAATTGTTAACTAAAACTAATAGTTAGCATGCCATTGGAAATTGGACCATGGACTAATAGTTTATTAATTAGTTACCGTGACATGGGTTTCAGAAATCGGGTTATGGCCTAATAGTTGTAAAAACCGTTATGATTTTGACTTATGGGTTTCTTTTTAGTGTGCTTGAATGAGAAGTGGGGGCCAATTACTTTTCTACTAGACGCCCACAAATCAGCGCTTCTAAGGTAATTAGTCCCTTTGGTCCAATACGTACATGCATAATTCTTAAATTCCTATACAAGTTTTGATTACTTCCAGGCCACCGATTCCTCCAAGGCTCCCCTCAAACATTACCGAGACCTGACCCTTATCAAACGCCTAAAGGTCCTTAACTAACCATCCCACCAGTAATAACTTCGCAATATAATAAGCACTAACCTTCCACGCGAGACATGTTGACCGAGAAAACTCGAGCATCCTTTCATGTACATCTCACCGTAGCTGATTTGCTGTCCAGCTTGGTCTATGACATAGTGTCCATGTACGGGTACTGCTTCAACCGCATCCGTCATCCTAGTATAGGTGTCAAAACATAGCCCGACCCGATTAACCCGTCCGATCAACCCAATCCGCAACCCGACCGCAACCTGAATTGACTAAAAGTCAACAACCCGTAACCCGCCCGACCCGCAACCCGGTTGGCCCGCAACCCAACTAACCCGCAACCCGACTAACCCGCAACCCAATTAACCCGAACCCGATTGACCCGCAACCCGACTGACCCGCAACCCGATTAACCCGAACCCGATTGACCCGAACCCGACTAACCCATAACCCGACCGACTCAACCCGAATTTCATCTAATCCACTTGAATAATTATAAAAATATACAATACATAGTTTTTTAAAATAAAGTTTTTCATTCTAAACTTAAGTAAAATTATTTTTTCATTTCGTATAAGAAATTTTAAAAATATGAAACTCACTTGATATTACGTATTTTAAGAAAATTACAAAAATTGAAACATGAAGGTCACTTGAGATCATGACAATATTAATATAATATATAAATTAAAATTTTGGTTAATTTAACTATTCAATAAAATTATCAATTAAATATAAATAAAGTAAAGTAATGTATTTGGTAATTTGATGTTTTTAAAAGAAGAGGAAAATTTTGATGTATTCAAGTTTTTGGGAAGAGAAAGAAGAGGAAAATTTGGTTTTTTGAATTTTTTAGAAAAGAAACAAGTGGGAATTTTGGTGGTTTTGATATGTGGGAAGAGAAAAAAGTGGGGAAGTTTGATTCTTTTGATTATAAAAGAGAAATAAGGAGGGAAACTTTTGACTTTTCAACTTTTTGTACAAGGAAAGAAGAGAGTAATTTGGTTCTTTCAATTTTATGGAAGAGAAAGAGGAGGGAAAATTGAGTTTTTCTAATGTATGGAAGGAGAAAGAAGGAGGGAAATTTTAATATTTTTGTGAAAAGAAAGAAGGAAACAAATTTGGTGTTTTCAATATTTTGGTTTTTCATAATTTTAGCTTTTGAAATATGAATCTTTAACTTTTATATGGAGGGTATGACTAGTTAAAATTATTCTTATATGCTTTGAAGGCTAATATGTATATATGTATGTAATTTTTTATGGGCTAATAAATAAATTAATCATTAGTTACAACAATTTATACTAAACTTGATAAGTAATCTTTGACGGTTCGTTGTTTAGGATATAAAGTATATGGTTAGGTTATAAGGTATAAGGTGCATATGGTTTAGGGTGTATATGGTTAGGGTATAAGATATTGATGGTTTTGACGGTTCTAAGTTTTTTATTAACATACGTTCACTTGAAGTCATTTGAAGTCTTTAACGGCAGGAGATCCCTTTTTAATTTATGTTTATGGTACGTGGTTAGAGTACAAGGTATGTGGTGTAAAGTATAGGGTATAACAATTAGCAAATATCACTTTTTATCTATGTTTTGAAAATCAAAGTATGAATTTCACTTTTAAATTAAGTATACTAGCAAAATCACAACTCAAAGACATATGATTAGGGTATAGGTTATGTGGTTAGTGTATAATGTATTGATGGTTTAGGGTATACAATCAACAACATATACTAACTTAATATTATTGATTGGGGGTAAAGCTAAGTGTATAGGATATATGCTATTGAGTAAGTTATGATTGAAGTCACAATAATTTTACTAAATTTGATAGCTAATCTTTAATGGTTCAATTTTTAGGATAATTCGAACAATTTTACAAATAACTCGTTTGGCAACAGTTAACTAAAGTTATTTGGGCAATGAGTTATTTTGAAATAACTCCTTTTATCACTATGCTTTTGCCAAATACCACAAGCCAAATACCCAATTTGCATGGTTATACTAAACGAGATACTTCAATCCAATTACTACTGAATTAATACTAAAATATCAAATACACAATTAACGGTGTCTTTTGGTTGCAAATATTGATATCACCATTACTGTTAGCTATAGTACTTTACCAATTATGATTAATTACATAACAAGTTTGCAAGTCATACAAATTGATTTAACATTTTGACTAGTTTTTTTCAAAAAAATAAAGTATATATATATACGAGGTAGAAATAAATTGGTTAAAAAGTTGAGAAAATATTTTAAATTAGTGTAATAAAATGTGTAAGTTGGTAATGAGTAATGAGTTAAGTTACTTGATGCGTTGGCCCGAACAACCCGAAACCCGACCTGCCCGCAACCCGCCCGACCCAAAACCTGATGAACCCGCAACCCGATTTGCCCGCAACCCGATTGAATCCGAACCCGATGAACTCGCAACCCGACTAACCCGCAACCCGTTTGAACCCGAACCCGATGAACCCAAACCCGATGAACCCGCAACCCGACTAACCCGCAACCCGTTTGAACCCGAACCCGATTGAACCCAGCCCGAACCCGCCCGATTGACACCTATACATCCTAGCATGCTTAGGTCGCCCGAATACCCGGTTGTGCCGCCGACATGGACGAGTTGTTCCTCCTCGTTCCGATCTCATCATCCGTCGAATCCGCAGACCAGAGTATTGACCACCTACCCGGATCTGTACGAGGTGCACTCCCTCCAGCTACCCACTCTTCACTTGATAATGTTGACGATTGCTACTGGCTTTCCCCTTCTCTCTCCTTGTGGTTCTAACAGCAACAACGATGTATGTAAATCTCTTTTGGCGGTGGCGATGACGATTTCTGTGGGCTGGAGGTCGTTCGAGGGAGTTTGAGGAATGAGTAGGCGGCAGTATTCCAAGGTTGAAGAGTGACTGCCTCGTCCTCTCCTCCTTTAAACATGCTCCTTTCACTAGCCCTACTCCCCATCTAATGTTTTGCGTTCACTAACAATTAGCAATTAAATTGTCATTATCATTATAAATATTGGAAGGCCACCGAGAAGGCCTTTTAACGGCTGAACTAAATTAGTCCTTATCTCCATGATCTTGTCCCAAATGTGGTTTAGCTTTCGTTCGAGTCCCTGTAATTAATGGTTAACTCCAACTCCACAAATTTCTTATCAGTTCAACCTAAACTCAAAACTTGGGGTGGTACATTTCTTCCACCCTTAAAAAAAATATCGTCCCCGAAATTGAAACTGCAGGGTAGGGATTGAAGCAAACATTTCTACTGGACACCTTAATTAAATTCGTCTTGACGAAGATGTAATATTTCACTCCCCCTTAAGAAAATTTCGACCTCGAAATTTGCTCCATATTGTAACTTCTTATGTATGACCGGTACTCCTTCTTAGCCTTAGTCACAGACTCTAGTAAGACTCTTCTGCCTATCTATCTCCTCCCCAACTTTATTTATGAGACCCCGATGTTTCTTAAGGCAACTCTCTTCCACTTCTTGTTGCTTAAGGGAAAACATCTCCCACAATGCTTTACAGTAACAACTTTTGCATTCCTTGCGTTCGATATAGTCCTCCTGGTTCCTATATATTCCCTTTCCCTTACATAACAGAATGTTTAAACTAGCTTGATGTCTTCGGCATATATAGACGGTCACACTTTCACCTAAAATTGGACCGACGAGCTCTTTAATCCTTGGCGACCTCTAATGGTCCAATTGTTCTTTCTGGCCAGAAACTTACCAATTCTTTGTCGTCCTTCATATCCTTGTTTCGACCTTTCCTAAATATCTTCCTCCATGCAAGCTCCTTGAACTCAAGTCACTTACCACATCTCTACCTCTTCATCAGGAACTCTCATGTTTCTTAACATCATGACATATTTTCTTACCCTTGTCGAAGATGACTACTATCACCATTTTGTGAAACATTTGAATACCATCTCGTGTTACCTTTCTGTTTCTTGACTCATTGCACCCTTTCCTAGTATCTTGAGATTCTACTTGAATTGATAGGTTCCTTGCGTCCTTTTTATACTAGTGATCGCTATATGTTTCAATCTCTTATTTGACGTCACACGATGTGTTAACTAAATTGTTCCCTAGCTTAGTCTTGAACAAATCGCACCCTCGTGCTACCATCCTGTCATGTCGTGCCTTTATAGTTTTCCCCTAATATGATTAGAGTAGACTGGAGATTCTATAAACTCTTAAAAAAAATCCCCGACTCAATTTCGTTTCCTTTAAAACAGAACCCCTTAAAATTGAGATCGATATTCCATTATTCCTTGGAAACCAAGGAACAGAGGAAAACCATGCTCTGATACCAAAATGTAACACCCTAGCCTGGCCAGGTTAGGGTGTTACATTGAATGAGCGATCAATGGCAACCGTGTGGAGCAAGACAAACTCACCCCGGAGAGCTCCCATGGTGAGGATGCACAAGAGGGTTGCATTGACGACTTTCAAACCCTTTCTGAGAGCAACTTTGAAGACCAAGTCACGAGTGTGGAGGAGCAAGAGAATACTTTTTATGATCTTGCATGGAATCTTGCCCTCCAAACAGTACTTGAGGGCATGAATGGGAAAGAGAAGGAAGAGGTTGAAGAGGAGGAAGAAAACATTGAAAAAGGGGAAAATCTTGATTGTTCCCACAAGGAGGAAAGTGAACAAGAAGGAATGGAGGTTGAGGAAGAAGAAGAAGAAGGAGCAAGTGGTGTCCAAGATGAGGACGAGGTTGGGGTGGATGAAGCATCCACGAGTTACAAATGTTATCAATACTTTCTACCCGACCTTGACGCACTTTTGGAGAAGGAACCATTTGCGGCTCTTTGCCAAGCCAAGGCCAAACCACCGGCTATCCATCTTGGTGGATGCGATGGAAGTCAATCAATGATGGACTACATGGTGTGGGGGCAAAGAGAAAGAAGAGGAAAAGAAGAAGAGGTCTCATGGGTGGAGCCTCATGACAACTCAAGTTCACGAGCCCTCAATCATGGATTCATCCAAAGTTCGTGACTTTAGACTTCATCTTACCAACGAGAACCTCAACTTCAAGGAGATTCTTGGGTGGACCGAAACTAGAGGAGCAATCGTCCGGCTGACGACGTTAAAGAAGCGCTTGGTGGGAGGCAACCCAACCATCAGCGGTTTGCATTTCTTTTCCTTTAAATAATACAACCAATGGAGAGCTTTTGGTCTTTTCCGTCTCCTTGCTCTCCCGGATCTCACCTGGCCTCCGCTCCCGAACACCAACATTCACCACTATCCGGTAACATCGTTCCACTTCCCTATTTTACGCCATTGAGGGCAATGTCGAGCTTAAGTGGGGGGGGGGGGGGGTAGTCCATTATGCATGTGTTTGTAAATGTTTGGTGTGATTTTGAATGTTTGGATCCTAGTTGTATGCCCAAACCCAAAATTTTAAAATTTGAGGGCTCAAAGCATAGCAACTTCTATATTTTTATGATCGTAGTGGCACTTGTGTTGTTTTGTTTTGAATCTCGTGGGTATTAGCATGACCTATGGATGGTTTGCTTGTGATTATGTGCAACCTATGATGACGATTGAGACTTGTATTAGGTTTGTGCATAGGTTCATTTCTCATTTATTTGTGAACGATAGATGTTTTGAATCGATTACTTGCTTTTCACAGTTGCATATGCATCGAGTTTAGGGAGTTAGAAGGAATGATTGAGCACCTAGGTAACCATGTGAGACTTGTGTCGTTCGTTTCGTTCTTGTGTGATAGATCCCCCTTTAGATGATGTGTAGCATTTACGTTGTTGCTAGCAAGGAAGATGGAGGCATAGGATTAGCCCACGACCCAAAATTTGACCGACCCGATCATATTATTCCTTAGTCAACCCTTTTGAGTCGTGTGTCTAAGGGTCGCTCTCGTGTTAGGTAACTCACACTACTTGAGCTTGATTGATTTAGATAGAGCGACCCTACTTTCTTCGTGTCTCAACCGTATCGAGTCACCCTTGTGTTTAGAAGCTCCATTCATACCATTTGATCTTAAACGAGGTTCCACATGAGTGATTTCTGTATGGTTTTGCTAAGAAGTGAAGTGAGTGTGGTGGTAGTTCGTAAAAGTGAGCATTGTTCGTTAAGTTAAAAAAATGTGGCATGTTTTTAGCTCTCTACAGCCCTCAAGAAAAGGGAAAAAAAAAGAAATCAATAAAAGGGCAAAGAAGAAAAGAAATTGGCCACCCAAAAATATAATAAATGCTGAACATGCTCTTAGAAGTGTTTCTTGGCATACAAGCTATATAAACACATACATGTTGACCTCTACACTCTTGTGCTTAAAATTAAATAGCAAATGTAGCAAGAAAGCATGTGTGACATGGTTTGGTGATTGGTTGTAGTTTGGAAAGAAGGGAAGTGTGGTATTTGGCCGATGCCATGGTCGTTGATTGTAGGAAAGGTTCTTAGTGAAAACCATAGACCTTTTGTTGGTTTTAGGTTGAAGATGTGGAACCTCATGTTGTGTTTGCCACCACCCAAATAGTCTTTTTCCCCATGTCCTAAACCCTAGCCAATCATTTGAACAGCGTAAATAGTTTGAAACCCTAGGTGTAGTTAAATTATTTTAATTTTTGCGGTATATAATCATCTTTTAGAAACCCTAAACTAATCCTAACCCTAAAATCAGCGGAGCGGCCACCCTCTCACTTCATCTGCTTCCTCTCTCGCCCCTCTACATCTCTCGTTCTCCTCAGGCCGCCGACCAAAATGGATCCGAAAACAACCTCTTTTCTCCCTTCGTCTCTTCTCCCTCGGCCCCGTTTGCTCCGTTCAAGCTACTAGGGCGACGAGGGTGGCAGGATTGTCGGCGACGATGGCGACATGAACCACCGGCGACAACAAAATGGAGTTTTTTAAGGTTCGTTTTCCTTTTATCCATGCCATTTTTGCTATTTTTGAATCTGATTTAGAGTTTTCGAAAGTCTAATCCCTATTTCTTGTATTTTATTTTCGGAAAAATGACCAAGAGCATAGAGGAGCTCTCGATCAGCTTTTCTAGTTGGAGCGGCGACGGCGGTGAGAAGATCTTACCCTCTGGTAAGCCTTCTTTTTGATATGCATGCCTTTTTCGTTTGATTCTGAATTACATTGGGATATTAACCCTATTCATTTCTCTCATTTTTTTTTGTCTGTTCTCAAGGAAGGAAAGGAGAAGCAGAAGCTGCCGGCGGTGCGGCCTCTGCCGGAATCCGATGGCAGGGTGGTTTCGGTGAGTTTGTTTTGCACTTCTTTTTTTAATTTTCGTTATTCTGGGTTTTGGTTCATTATCACTATTTTGGGATTCTAATTCTTGATTTCCTTGTTTTTGCAGATCTCTACGGTTTGAAGAGACACTAGGTGATATCTTTCTAAACGTAAACTAGATTGTTGGTTATTATAGCTATGGTTTTGCCTGTGGTGTTAAGAAACCAAAGTTTTGGTTCGTACCCCTGTTGGGCTCATTCAGCTTTAATATTTGGTTTTGGATATGTTGAAAACGAAAGCTTGCTTATTGAATTTTAATGTCTATAATGATCCTAATGTAATCTGAGGTCAAAGCTACTGCTTATGACCACCATATTGGTGGGAAGCTTTATTCTAAAATTGGGATTTGCTTATATGATTGATTTAAAAAAACTGATATGAATTGGTAAAATCTGAAATTTTCAATAGCATAAGGGCTTTTATGGTATTAGGCATGCGAAAATATAACCACTAAAAATAGAACTTTGTAATTACCAAAAGTTGGTATTGAGTGGAAAGGGGGTGCCCTTAAACACAAAACAGGTATTTTAAAATACTCTCTCAAGGGTCTTATTTGAATTCTTTTTCTGTTTTGAATGGATTGCTGGATTATTGGTATGTGGAAATAGTAAATGAACTATCCTAGTTGATTATAGCACTAAGTTTAGCTAGCAACTTAGCAAGAATTATGCTTGCTAGAAAACTGAAAGCATTTTAAGCTGATTCATAGTATGTGGGTGATAAAAGGCAAGTTGTCTATCTTAGGATATAATGAAAGAAATGAATGGCGTAAAGAGGCATACATGTCACAAAAATCAGAATTTCGTAATACCCACTTCACATATAGATTTAAGCAACCTAACTATGGATTATTAAATTAGAAGCATCATCATCTACAATCATATTAAATGAGTTTTATTTTTCAACATGGACATATGGATGAATACATGCTTGTATGATTGGTGGGGTGAAGAAAAACCAACCTGTTTTCTATGTTGTTTGAGGGTAGTACCGTTGGCCTCTTGTTGTTTGCTTCCTTAGTGCTTTTTAATGCTTTCTGTCTGCCTTCTTTAGTGTCTTCGTGCTCTTATATACCCCTTCCCCTTTTACTGTTCATTCTTGTGTGTTGGTTGTTCTTCGTTTTCTCCTGAAGTGGTGGCCTGATCCATATAAATGAATGGCAAGTTTAATTGGATCTAGAGGTGGTGGCCGCATTGCTTCTTTTAAGGGCCGACAATAATTTCTGTTTTTGGATAAGATAAGGATGATGGGTTTGGTTGACCACAATTGACCGGGTTGACAAAGTTGACGCTGGACTCGATTGGTTGACCGAATTGGACTGGGCCGAAAATTATGATCATGAATTGGGTTTATGGTTAGAAAATCGGGCCAAAGTGTGGGCTGCTGGTTTGGACTGGTTTCTAGTAGTTTTTTTTTGCAAGACCTTTATCTGGCCCAAAATGATGATCTAAGGATGCCCATAAAGTCTCAAAAGACTAGTCCTTCAATTCTGATTGGTGCCCCCAAAAGAAGAAGTCTCTTATTTCTTCTTCTAAATGTATAATTACTAAGTGTATCTTAAAGATTACAAATTTTAATTTGTAATTACACATTTAATTATTCATGTTATTTTTTTTAGAATTAGATGATTATTGTGATGTATTGCTCAACATTCAATTGATTCTTCCAACCTAATTCGCTTGCTTCTCCAATTTTAAACGGTGCAAACTTCTAATCCATATTTCCCAAACTATGGACTTCGGCGAATATAAGCATCATTACCATTCATCCTCCTATCCCATTTGACCAACTTCAGAACAATGTGACCAACTGTAAACTGAAAATGTTAATACAATCCTTGAATTAAATCAAACAAATTTGTTAGTTATTAGCACTTGTTGACCTGTTAACTAGCCATTGTTAATCTAAACTAGTATGATAATAGAGCTAAATAATAGTGAACTTGGAAATCATTGGTACTTATTATTGACAAATGCTAATCTCAACCAATCTCGTCCAACATTTCACTTCAACTTATCCTTTTGAGTTTTAGACCGAGAGGTTGTTCCGCACAAAATGTGGTGTCTACAATTGCCCCCATTGCATATCTCTTCATATAAAGAGTTATACAAAGTTCTTATAAAGACACCATATTTTGTGAAAGTAAACTCAATAGTTGTGTTAGGCATCCAATGAGAGTGGTTTTTGGGGTGACGTGAATATTCTAAGTAAACCCGGTGTGTAAACATTAGTGTTAACTGATGTAAAAAATTTCAAGCTCTTTGTAGTATGGAAAGTGGTTGTAATTTTTCTAGGCGCTTCTCAGCTCCCGTAAGATATTGAGGAGGTAGGGGTGCTTCTCAGCTTCCATCGGATATTAAAGAGGTAGGGGCGCTTTCTCAGCTCGCGTGTGTTGTTGAATGGTAGAGGGGCTCGCTAGCTCCTGCGAGGTATTGAATGGTAGGAGCGCTCCTTAGCTCCTGTGCGTTGTTGAATGGTAGAGGGGCTCGCCAGCTCCTGCGAGGTATTGAATTGTACGGGTGCTCCTTAGCTCCCGTGCATTGTTAAATGGTAGAGGGGCTCACCAGCTCATGCGAGGTATTGAATGGTAGGGGCGCTCCTTAGCTAACGTGGATTGTTGAATGGTAGAGAGGCTTGCTAGTTCCTGCGAGGTATTGAATGGTAGGGGCGCTTCTTAGCACCTGTGCATTTTTGAATGGTAGAGGGGCTCGCCATCTCCTGCGAGATATTGAATGGTAGGGATGCTCCTTAGGTCCCGTGCGTTGTTGAATGGTAGAGGGGCTCGCTAGCTCCTTCAAGGTATTGAATGGTAGAGGCGCTCCTTAGCTCCCGTGCATTGTTGAATGGTAGAGGGGCACGCAGCTCATTGAATGGTAGGGGGGCTCCTTACCTCCCGTGCGTTATTGACTGGTA